GTACAGATAGTTCTATCTTTGACTCTCTTGCAGATGTCTGTGATGCAGTCGACAAAATGAAGTCTGCAAGACGTGGTGTGCAGACCAAAATTGTGGACTTTGTTAAACGTAATTAAGTTATATACATGTATTGTTGAGATTGTTGTGATTGTTAAACATGTTCTAGCTAATGTCTGTGAATGATAAATTCAGAATTTTAATGTTATGTCAATGTACATGTACAAGAATAAATATTTGTAGCCTCAGCGTATACGTGTCTCTACATCTCTACAATCCAAGATGGCGGTCAAATGTGAATAACGAACACCCGGATATAGCGAACTAAATTTCGTGGTCCCTTGGAGTTGGTCATATCCGTGTTCTACTGTATTAATAAAAGCACTAGTGACTTGAATTCTTACCAGATTTGGTTTCTTACCGACTGAAGAAATGATGACGTTGTTCAGACACCACTCGGACAAAAGATTTGAAGCTCAGAGAAAATAGGAAGATTATATGACACTTCACACATTTCTGACATTTAGGCATTTTTCCTTCAAGATGGGGAACAGGTATAATTGGTGGGTTTAACCTATTTTTACAACTTTCTTCTAGAATTACACTCAGGTACTACCTTATTGTAATTAGTGAATCAGCTAAAAAAAAGGGGACCAAGGAACTGAACCCAGCAGTGAGAGAGTAACTTGAATTTATGCTGTTTTTAGCAATAGAAAAGGATGGGGCACAAGATATAAGCATCACAAACTGTAACTATGCACATGTGGATAATCAAACCCAGGCAGTCAGTGCTGCAGCCTTATACATGTATATTATTAGATCTAATCACCACATTAAAATAAGGTGATAGAAGCTCCAGTAAAATATCACCAATACCACTACATTCTGTTCTATACTGTTTGAAATAAAAGGATCAAATGAATTGGGGTTCAACATCTTGTTCAAGATTACAGCACTTACATAGCCATGTGCATGTATACATGATTGTCCATACAGTTTTATAATCTCTGTAATACTCTCACAATGTGTAAGTCAACTCTTAATTCAATTGATAAATAGACCATAATATATTTATATGCCTATTTGGATGATGGCATCTAGAAAATAGGGCAACCATAGCATTCAAGCTTCGGTTGGTTGGTTTGTTGTTTAATGTCACACTCAGCAATATTTCAGCTATATAGCGGTGGTCTGTACGTAATGGAGTCTGGACCAGACAATCATGTAATCAACAGCATGAGCATCAATCTATGCAATTGGGATACGATGACATGTGTCAACCAAGTCAGCAAGCCAAATCACCCGATCCCGTTATTCGCCTCTTACGACAGGCATGGGTTGCTGAATACCAATTCTAAACCTAACCTCCATGGGTTTACATTCAAGCATTTGGCATCCCTCAAGTCTGGGGTAACAAGTCAGCCTGAGAGTGGATCATGAAATCAAGTTCGGATACTGCAATATTCAGTACAGCAAGAGGGAATCATCAACTGAGTTGGAGCAATAAAAACAATAACCAAAGGATTAATCAATTCTATCTATCATATCATATCATATCATATCATATCATATCATATATATATACAAATATATATTGTGTTGATTGATCATTGTTAACTTAGTGGAGTTGTCAAACATGCACTTATATGTTCAGTATTATCAAAGTTTCTGGGCATGAAGTGCATAAATCATATCTGTTCAAATGATTACCCAACAATAACTTGGACATAATGAACAGTTTTTATGTGGACTAAACTCAATGATCTCAACTGATAAATCAAACTTGAAATTCGCCGAAAACATCTGAAACAAATACAACATCCTGATTTCTATATGTTACATGTTTTTATGCTACAAAGACATGAACTGAACAAACCGATTCATGTGCTTGGATTCAAACCATGTTTTAATCCACGTCTTGTTCTGAGGATGTCATGACCAAAAACGGTTATGCCAAACAGCAATCTGACAAGATAAGGATGCTATCTATAGGATGACTCAACACCCTCCTACATTCTTTCTAATGTCATGTCCCGTAATAAGATGTAATGATCATTTAACGTATGCAGTACCGAGATACAATGATTGCTCCCCTTAAGAGAGTAGTGCACTTCTGTTTGCCATTTGTTGTAACACTCGAATGTATAACGAAGACTAAATCGGAGATTTACATGCAGTAAGAAGCACGCACAAAATTACTAGGCATTTCTAACTTGATGAGAGAACTAGGAAAATGGGAGGTCACAGTAGAAACAATATGCAAAATATGCAAAATTTATGCTGGTCCTGTGGTCCCTGGGTGGCAAAAATTCTTCAGCACCACTAAATGATGAGTTTGCTTTGGTCCTGGTGGCCAGAGAATTTTGTTTTGATAGTTAAAGGTCACATGCAACGTAAAACACAACTTTGCAGATTCTGATACCTTTTGTTATGGACTTACCGAAACAAATCGTCAAAAATGCAAATTCAACTCATAAAGTTGAAAAATAACGCGATGAAAAAAACGCGCGAAATCGGAGTTCCAACGTTTCACTAAATTTCCCCAGACTTTTCTGGGGAAAACGTGTTTCAACAACTGGGCTGCGCTCATAGCATGTGCGCAGTGAAATAGGTTCGCGCAGCTTGTAAGCGGGCTGTCCGGTGAATACTCGGTGAAGGCTTTGGTGTGAGCTATTTTTCTAATGTTTTGTTGATATCTCACAGGCGCGAGCTTTTTACATGTTATGACAGTAAATTAACTGTTTATATAATTTCATTTGTCTATTTCACCACACGTTCTTCTTACCGAGTCACCTTCTCAGTTCGATACTTAAAAGCAATGTCATTATTTAGCGTTGACAGAATTTCTCACTGTGATATAGATATGTCGTTGTCACAGACAAAACTCAGTGTCTTGTTTTATTGACACCTGTGTGTCTGCCTGCCTGTCTGCTAATGACAATATTCAATACACAGCTGCTATCACTGACCACATGCAATTTGAACTTAACACCAATCAGGCTATACACCATAAACAAAATGCATTGACTTATGGCCCGAGTTCGGTCTCTGTCACATTATGTAATTACACAGACAGGCAGGTGTGATACTTGAACACATGACATGTTATGATGTCTGTTGATTGCAAAATGTTATACTCAAAAAATGAGCATGTATTTACAAAACCCAACATCTCTCTATATACACACACAATGAGCCGTGACGGCATCTGCAAATGAACCAGCCGTTACACTTGAGTGCACACCCACCCGCTCGGACTGGGTTCGGTATCCCGGCTGCTTCGTTTCTTGGGAAGTAAACCGAAGTACACAATATTGCACTTTTGATTTGCGATTGTACGCTTATAATTTTGTTTATATGTTTTTTCATAACCAGCAATGTATATTATATGTCATGAATGAGTGATAATTGTGTTTTAATTATGTTTGATTTTTTGGTTGCATGTGACCTTTAAGTAAATCATATAAATTTATACTGAAATAAATCTGTCTGTCTGTAAATCCACGAATATTATTTTGGAACAGTGAAGTACAGACAGGACCACTAATTGTTGTCCACTCACTGGTCCTGTGTTCAAGTGGGGAATTTTGAAAGGTTTCTTTCCTTGTATACAGCCTCTTCCTTATAATATATACAATGTCTAAAGCGGCCTTCACACGGAAAACTCGAGTTTGACAGTTGAACATTCCAACAACTCACCACCAACCCCAATTCAAGAGTTATCAAACTGTTGTCGATAAATAGGATCGGTCTCTATTCTCACCAACTTTTCAATCAAACTTTTGGTGAAATGGCACAAAATGCACCAAATGGGTCATTGTTCTTCGAGAAAGGTCTGAATACTATCTGGACAGCGATGAGGTCTATATTTTGGTAACAGTGCAGCCAAGCTCAGAGTGAGTGAGTGAGTGAGTTATTATTTAACGTCACATCGGCAATATCTCAGCCATATCGTGACAAGCCAAGCTCAGACATGACTACTATGACACATAGCAAATGAGAAGTCAAGCCTTTGGCAAGTGTGGAAACAAGTGGAAGTGTTGACATTTATGGACAGTAGACAACATCCCCTCCTCTTACAAAAGTATACATAATGCAGGGAAAATGGTGTTTTCACTGGCATCGGATGTTTTCATGGGCTCATATTCACATAGAGACTAACCCTAATGTGTCCCCAAGCGTAATGGTTTGTTTACATTTCTTGCGCTTCTGCCTCACCGTGCTACGCCCTCACCGTGCCACGCCCTTCCCATTCATATCTTTTCGCACCATTATTTCTTGGACTGTACTGACGAGTACCAGATGGATCGAAATGTGTTTCAATTGGATATGGATATAATAGGATTACACTGCCCTGAGGTAAGGTCTAACCCTAAATTAGGATCGAAAAGGGTCCCTAACCCTAAGGAGTCAGAAACCCTACCCCACTCCCGGAAAGGGTCCTAACCCTAAACCATAAGGATCGTAAAGGTTCCCTGACCCTAACCCTAAGGATCGTAAAGGTTTGTTTGACTCTAAAGATGCGTCAGCTCCCTAAGGAACGGAAATGGTGCTAACCCTAAACCCTAAGGATCGTAAAGGTTCCCTAATGCTAAACCCTAACCCTTAGGATTGTAAAGGATGCCATACCCTAACCCTGAACCCCTAACCCTGAGGATCGTAAAGGGTTGTTTGACTCTAAAGATGCGTCAGCTCCCTATGGATCGGGATGGTTGACTGGCAAGTGAAGGGAGGAGACGAGCAATTACCGCGATATAGCGAGACAGCGCGATAGCACTATACCGCGATAATTGCCCCGCAGGCATCAGCGAGGGCTGCGCCCGGTAAAGTGCATTCTAGCCCAGAGACCATATTACTATTATATGGTCTCTGATTTAACTGAATCGTTCAAGTATCTTTTGCTATAGTAGTGAATTTCCTCTGGGCGACACAGACAACACTATCGAAATCTGCACAACGCACATCAAAATCAATAAATGAGACAACGGAACATAATAACTTACATAGAATCCTGGGGGAAACTTCTTTTATAATCACTTGTGTAATACAGCTCTGTCAAAGTGAGAGTATACAGGAATGATATATACCCCGTCCTGTCACGTTTCTCAAAAAGTTTCACTTTAGCGCCATTTTGACTACAGCGACGTCTATCTAACAACATATATAACCGGTTTCAAAATTATGCCATACGATTGGCTGAATCAAGTGACAGGCAAATCAGCAAGGGGAACCGAAAACAGTAGAGGTTTCATAGTCACGGAAAGATAACTCTCATCAACTTGTCCGGCTGTCATGCTTCTGGGACTGTATATTGTAAGATTATTCCTCTTAAGACATTTTGTACGTGTAGGACTTCACTATCCATTTACACACGCGTCGAAATAACCGATAGTCTTGCAGTACAATCACTCATGGATCGACTGTGTGCGTCAAGCAGACTGTTTACAGCGGCGCGTTTCTGTCTGTGTCAACCAAGTTTATGCATGCGGAAGCACCGCATACAAACTGGTGCCTTCGGTAGTGGGAATGAGAATGGGCAAACGAAAGTCGAGGGCCTTGTAAATTCCTGGATGCAGAAATATGAAGAATTTGTAGGACTCACTCTCGTTAAAGAAGCTCAGAATAGTGTTTTGCAGGTTTGTATGCAATTATTAATCACAAATGGAACATAAACTTCCAGAATGACATGGAAGTTGATAATTAGTCTCATTTTGTCTCACTTTGTTAGTACCTTAGATGACATGGCCATCATGCAACTAAATAAAAGGAAGACTAGGCTTGGACAATTTATAAACATTGCATGGTTTGCTTCTTATTGGAGTTTATGAAGTTCAGTGTGTAATCAGTATAACTACTAGAAGTTTTCCTACATCATAAAATTTGATTCTGAGCATCAAGATATATTTTCCCCCAGTCTTTCAAAGGATTGTCTTCATGAGTTTGTATTATGAAATATCCAGTATTCATGTTTTACTTAGATATTTTTTATATTTTTCAAGAGAGAAAATAAATTCTTGTCATCTCAAGAAGAGCGGCGAGCAAAACAACAAGAGCTCGGCACAATCCAATCAAGACTTAAGTCAGTCAGTGCAGAACTTGACAAGACCAACAAATCTGATGATCGCTATCTTGACATTGTCAAAATGGAACACTCCATAATCAGAGAAGAACATCAGATGCTCGAGGATATACGTAACCTAGAAAAACAGGAACGAGAGTATTTTTCCCTCCTTAGCGCTGCAGTTCGTGAAAGTCATGAAAAGGAACGAGCTCAAGCAGAGAAAACAAAATATTGGTCAATTATTGGATCAATCATTGGAGCCATTATTGGTATCACTGGGTCAACTGTTAATAATTATCTAAGAATGAGAGAGATGAAGGGAATCGTACACACCTCTGTCTCCAGTAACGAGGAGTTGAAAGATCTGTCTGTCCAGCTGTGTAGTGCTGTTAGAACCCAGTTTGATACCTTTGACAGCTTTCTGACAGATCTGAAAACAGCCATCGACAAGAAAGGTGTGTCCACCGTTAGAGCCTCGCTCCCTGCTCCAATGGCAAATAAACACACCCTCCACGAACAAACAGATAAAATTTTGGAAACTTTGGTAAAGCAGGAATTATTTCTAAATGCAGAAATAAAGGACATCAAGAAGATTCTTGGCCTGACACGGAAGGATGAAGAGGGAACAAGTGTTGTTTATGTTGGACCGGAAGTGAAGACCCTTCTTCAGACAACAGAGGATAACCTAGAGTGGAAGATGAAAATGAACTCGCTGGCAACAGCGACATTTATATATGGTGCCCTTGCTCTGACAATACCAATCATTCTGTCGTTCTTTAAGGGAAGCTGAAGTAACAGTTTCTTTTATGTGATTACAAAAAGTGAATATCAAAAACACCTTAAACAACCCAAAGATATATTTCTTTATCAGGGAAACTTTCAAGTAAATGTAGACTACTTGTCATATAATATGTAAGAGTAGACAGCTGTGCTGACATATGATGTAAAGGATGGTGGTCTTCTCTCCTCTGAAGATGACATTTCAGACCATATATATATATATATACACCACCTCAGACTAGCAACTAAGTTGATTCAAATTCTGATCACATTTTTTTTTGTCAGGGTGACAATCGTGATGACACTGTATACATGTACTGATAAACTTTAATCAAATAGGGAGTGGAGATTTTTTCAAGGGAATCTTGTGACATTTATAACGTGTCCGGAATCTTTCAAAATATGTTTTTATATCCATGATGATAATGGATGAAATGACATCAAATATAAATCAGATGTGATAAGGCCTAAAAAATAAAATGATGTGGTTCCGATTACCCTCCCGACCCTTGAATTCTGGTGCCGACCGTATTTTTTTTTAAGTGGTATGAATAAAATAAGCTTCCAGATACCATTGTTATTTCCCGGCACGGACGGACATTGGTCATTCTGATAGAGAAAGTCGACATGATGGCCTCAAGCTTGATTGAAGAAACAATTACACATTGATAAATGTGTTATTAGTTAGTACTTTACTTCTAAAAAAAATGTAAAAAATGAAATTAGAATTAAAATCCTACCTACCTACCCAACATTTTAAAGATGTGCAAAACCACATTTATTTTATTTGGCCTAAATGAGTTGTGTGTGTGGAATAATTTAATTGTTCCTTTTTCAAGATTCTTATTATCTCAGACACACAACTCCTGTGTGTTTTTCCTTAAAGATTAAAACAATTGTTGATCATAATGGTTTATTTTTGCAGTGTGTAGGTTATGAAATGCAAAGGGGAAACAGTGTGGCTGAGTAGTTGAGATGAGATATTTTTCATTTATATAACATTGAATAACTGATTTGTGTACTGTAAATCCTATATTACATTTCCTCATTATTACATTGCATATAATGAGTTTATTTGATGACTTTTTCATTTGGGCTCCACCATTTGAAAAGATGGAAGATGGTTTTAGATCATGCATCTTTGAAAGGGTTTCGGGTTAATGCATTTGCTTTTTTTAGGGCATTATTATTTCATGAGCCTCATAGCAATCAGATTTCTGACCTATTTACAAAAGCACCTCTCCTCACAATATATTACAGTTGCATAATCGCCCAGCAGGCAATGTCTGAAATATAATCATGGTTAATGCAGGAAGCACTAGAACGAGAAATAATTAGAACTTATAAACATGCTAGTTATTTGCATATTCATGGATTGTTATTCTGTTTGTTGTAGGAAGAATATCAAGAGTTATGATTCATGTCAGTGTTTCTGTGTGATGATTGTCTTGTTGCCTGTTGAGAATATGTTAGTGTATAAAGTCAAAGATTAAAAAGTTATGTTTCGCCTGTGAGAATGTTGGGATTTATTCAGACACATGGAATGATGTTGTCCTTAGCTGCAAGTCTGGTAGAGGAAGGGAGGTAATGTCAATGAAGTTATCTCCCCTTCCATGTCTGTGAAGCGGTATGCCAAAATTATTGAGTGTTCCCGAGTTACCAGATATAATGGAGACAAGTATTTTCAGAACACTTATATGCACTGAAAGATGTACATTGACATCCAACCACTGAGGCCCGTGAAGAATGAGATCTTTAGTAACCCAAGCTTTTGGTAAGAGGCGACTGGGAGGGATCTTGAAGTCAGGCTCGCTGACTTGGTTGACACATGTCATCATATTCCAGTTGCGTAGGGCGATGCTCTTGCTGTTGATCACTGAATTGTCTGGTCCAGATTTGATTATTTACAGACTGCCGCCATATAGCTGCCACAATGCTGAGTGTGGCCTACGAATAAACTCACTCACTCACTCCAACCACTGATTATGTGGTCCGCCTCTGCCTCCAGAAGGGATAGTTGGTGGCTTGGTTCCTGCTCTATACATAGTCTGATTGATGTATCCATGTTTGAACTGAAGCACTGTATTTCATGCAATATAAAAGTGGCAGACATTTGCACATACAAACGCCAGTGTAGGTTGCTACACAAAAGGGGATTGGCATGCATGAACCTTACTTTATATGTGTATATTAGTGCGAAGGCGAGCTTAAACCACATTTCACTTCAACTCTCCTTTTTAACAAATCATGTAAGCATTGAACCAGTATGGGCATTAAACACAATCATGCTTGGAAATTGGTTTATATGGAACAGAGGGGTTTGAATCACTGTTTGGACAATAATTTTAAAAAATAAAAATCTAGATTTTTGCAACCGGATATTGTTTTGATATGTTATGAGTAACTTATATTTCAAATTTGAACGAAATCGGTGAAGAAATGGATGTTTTTAGAACATTCTCCTGCTACACTCATTACATGACACTTTCCATGGTTGAACATTGTCTTTACCAAAAGGAACACTGTTTCCTGTCCAATTCAATGCCTAGTTACAGTGTTTTATTCTTCAGTGACATTGTTTCAATTTTATTGGGAATAACTAGATTTACTATGTTTGTGGAAAGACTATCCTACCTGGACTGTTAGGTTATAACATTTTAACTACATATGGCATTAACGGGGTTTTAGTTAAAGAGGGATCGCACAGTAAGTGGTCCGACAAACTATCATGCATGTTCTTCCCCTAGTGTACAGTACACAACCCTGTGCACTTAAAAGAACCCACGAATCCGTTGGTATATGACCAGATAATGGCCACATGAATACGTGCAAACACCTAGTTGTGGGTACAGCAACGTGCAGTGAAGTTTGACAAAGTGCTGTGACTGTGTCCCATTCCACCCCGCTGTGAATGGGTACCTCGTTAGGGTGAAAAAGCAACAATAACTCGGTGCGCCTAGTGGCAGCAAGAGTTGTATACTCCCCAGGGAGTTGAGATTTATAATACGATGTGCCGTTGAGATTGACATCCAATGAACGAGGGAAAAATATCAAGCGCCTTGAGCATGCACTAGTACGTGGATATGTGCGCTATATAAATATCCTATAATAAAAAATCCCCCTTCAGAAAAGAGAAATCCCGCAGAGCTAGCTATATAAGAACATCTAGATGACCTCAGCTGACACTACAACAGCCTTTTTACGGTGACTGGGGTATCATTGGGTGTGGACAGCACCCGCAACTCATTCGTACACTTCACCATACATGCGGAGGGTTATACTTTCCCCGCTACTCGGAATATTCTGACCAGCAAAATACACCCCCCTATATCTACTGACCACGTTCTTCACAGGGAAAGTCCAGCATAACACGGCTTTCTCGGAATGGAGCCCACATGACCACGGATAGTTGCCGTGCGTAACCCATGTCCAGGCACCTTGGTCGTCCAGGTATATAATATGAGAGCACTTACTGACATTAACTCCCAAGTCACCTCACTGTGATCATAGAATATAAATATGCATGGTAGTACATAGTTTTGCCATTGTGCCAAAATATACTCGCCAATACACGCGATGGTTGAGTAATAGAATGGCATTAAAAGATTCAAAGTGCGATGTTTAATCTAAAGGGCCTGGTATTCTACTTGGTGTTTTAGGTCGAACCTTTGCGTCCATAATTACACATTATTATAAGTTAAATCATCAATATTCCTTAATCTGCAAATTATTATAATAGAATCAAGACACCAGGATTCATAATCTGTATGAAACCGAAACGTATACAGCGTTATTGGGCATGGGACTTACCACATAAAATATTTCCTATTGAACCAAGCAGAAATGGGTGCGTATTGGCCTAAAAACGCTTTCCCAATATGTTTTATTCAGAGTGGAATTGTATAGAACACACTTGCTGTGATCATCCATGTAAAGTTTCAAATTCCTAAGTCTGTTTCAAAGATGTTGAAAAGGTAAAAATTAGCGTCATACGGAAATTAGTCTCAACACCACTTATATCTTGAAACAGAGTATTACCAAGAACTAACAGAACCATATAATCCATATTCCTTATGGAATTCGACAATATGGGTTATTTGTATATTTCCTTGATGAGAGATATTCATAAGAACTGTTAAATGCCCATGTGTATATGTGCATATGTATGCGATTTACATCTTTATTCAATGTTATCTTACCCGCACAGCCTCCATGGTCTAGCGGATAAAGCGTTTGCCGGGGAGTGGAAGGGCGGTGGTTCGATCCCCGCCTGCAGTCACCGAAACGCTGCAAACGTAAGGTCCAAAACACAGCTGTGATAACCGTATCGGGTACAAGGCCATCGAATACCAGTCCTTGTCTGTTCCAGTTACAGCCATCAAGTACGGGTGTGCACTTTCTCTTGCCCGACAGTTTACTGATTCATATTGTGCAAACGCATAGTTGTCTCTCTAACACTATATATAACATAATAAACTTACACAACGTGAACAATAAAACTTGTGCTGCGCATTTAACGCACTATATAGCCTACAGCGAGCCATGTATTGTTTAAAATGGCTCAAACATCATTGACAGCACTCGCATCAAGGAACAAAGTATCGTTTGAATCCAAGTATATTGTTGACAAACTGGTGACAGCCGCGTTTAACAACATTTCGCGAATAAGCGTTCTTGGGAAATTTCTAGATATACTATTCCACAGATAGATAATAATAAGAAGAAAGAGAAGATTACTTGTTTATATGTACTTTCCGTATCGTTATTTTTGACGTTTACTCAGATAGATGGACAGTTCTGTTTATACTACATATCACATATCGAATTAATGCAAAACATATGTGCACCGGAGCGCGTATAAGTAGTAGTTACATGGCAGTAAGTATTTTTGTATGTTAATTTCGATTCTAAATGAATTCTTACCAGTTTGGTGGCATATGTTTCACTTGGGCTGGTCCAGTTGAGAAATGAACCTCACGTCTGCTTCTGTTTCTGTCTTGAGTTAACGCGCTTCAAGAACTCGTGCAACGGAAGTGGGCCCCGATTGGTTGAACTCGTAACCATGGTGTCGCGTGCTGACAAACACCTGCCTGAAATATGCAATTCTTCCATCTTGATTTGACATGTGTTTGAGTAAATAGTCTAAAGAGACACAGCTAATTTTAAAACGCGACTGGTCCGAGGTTCAATTCCCAACATAAGTACAATGAGTAATCTACGTTGTTGGTGATATGTTTGTGCCTACCATAACATACTTGGCTGGAATAATGCTGAAACGGCGATGTATCCATATCACTCAGTCAGTTAATTATATATATACAAATAGACTCCTTGCTCCACGGCTATTTCTAGGCTACGTCCTAATCTTATAATGAACTAGAGTTTTTGTGAATAAGCACGATTACTTCATAATTCTACGTGCAATAACGTAACATGCATGCTGTATTTCATGTATTTCGAGGCTGTTCACCCAAAGAAAGCTACTGATTTCATTTAGCGGACATGGACTTAACTCAACACCTTACTCCGACTCGCCGCCCTTAATGTAGGGAATAGGGTACTTGCCATATTGGTGTTTTTTTGGGGTTTGATTTGATATTGACAGATTTTGAATATTGTTCTGGCGACTACTGTAGATCTTACAAGACAGTCGTGGAAGGTGAACTGTACAAGACGCATATGACGTCAAACAGTACTATATGTCAGAGTACATATAGTCAACATTCATTTACACACACACGCGCGCGCACTCACACAAGCATACAAACAGACATGTACATACATATTGCTTGTCTGGTTGTGGCTCGATAGCCAAAATTCATTATTAGGCGTTAAAAATACCGCATTCGTCCTCTTGCCAAAATATTGTCTCGCACGTCTTTAGTATGCCCGGACCTTGCCATTTGACATTAATCCTTTTCTTTGAGAACTATAGTTAGCGTGGCAAATTATGAGTCGTGTGTCATTTAGCAAATATCTATTAGCTTCAAGCAATGAAACACGATTTACTGTGTGAATCATAACGAAAGATGTACAAATGAAAATATGGCTTATAACTGCATTAAAAACGTTTCACTGTAATTCGCGGACATTAACGCGTCAAACATGTGACAAAACCTTCAATCAGATGTGGTTACCATGGTTACATCAACATTTTCTTAAACCAGAATGTTGCACGGAGAACAAGACCAAGCAAGAAGGATTTGTCCAGACACGTCAACGCTTGTAGCAAGAAGGATAGGTATGCCCAAATGTGCGAGGTGTAAATGGCAGGTATTCAAGCATTAGCAATGTGAACCGATTTGCTCCATTCCTGGAAGGATAAACATCCTCAGCATGACGTCATTTCGTAGCTTATCTGTAGCTGGAAGGGCAGGAACACGGTACACGAGATTCTTCATACAACTACCAAATATTCAGCTGGAAAATGGAAAAGCATCAACTTGAAAAGTGATTTGTTAGATATCTTCGAATATATACTTCACGTAAGCGTTATAAATGTACAGAAATC